AGTACTGGAAAAAGTGGTATCGGTGCATCCCTACTTTGAACTATTTACCATAGTAATACCATGGTTTTTTTATGTACAGCATCATAGTTTAACATTGGTATGTTTTTTCGACATACTACCCAAAGTAAGAGTTTTTTTTAATTGTAATACCATGGTTTGTACTGTGAATTTTTTTTACGTTTACCATAGTAATACCATGATTTTTGGACATGATACCTTGGTAATATCATGTTTTTTTTTAGACATTAACCATGGTAATGTTTTTTTACATATTTTTTTTTTCAGAGTGTATCATGGTAAATACCGTGTTTTTGAAGATGTCCGATGATAAAACTATGTTTTTTAGGCAAGTATAATGCCATAGTGTTCTAGATATGTACCTTGACAATTCTATGTTTTTGGACATTTGGTATGGTAATACCCTGCTTTTTTTGTCATACCATAGTAAAGCATTGATTTTTTTTCAACATAAAGACTGTGGTTCACTGTGGTATACTGTTTATTTTTTTTACATTTACTATAATACCATGTTTTTAATGCACAGCATCATAGTGTAATGTTAATATATTTTTGACCGTATCAGTACCATAGCCATTTTTTTTGTTAGTTTAATACCATGGTTTTAAAGTAATACTTTAATTTTACTGTTTTTTAAATAGTTCCAATGGTAATACCATATTGGCATATTGACCTATTATAGTAATAATGGGTTTTTATAGTTATTTTTGGACATGTACCATCAAAGTACCATGGTTGTTTTGGAGTACCATCTTAAATACTGTAGTATATAAATATTGTGATTATTCCGTACCGTGGTATAAAGTTTACATGCACTTCCTGCTGCAAATAATGCTTTTCCATTAGCTATGATTAGTACTGTTTGTGAATGTGGTCTCAGTCAGAGACATATTCTGTTTCCGCGTCTTGCACACACACACACACTCTGTAGTGCTGATAACCTCAGTGTGTGAAGTGAATGAGGGCTGAGCAAACATGTGTGTTATCAGCCGGAGACACGATAACACGCGTCTGGGTCTGGACAGATTCTGTTTGGCTGATCTGATTGCTGAGCTCTCGCTGCGTCTGCTTTCCCTTCATGTTGTGGATTAACGGGAGGAAGTTGTTGGAGGAGCGTCTGTTTCTCTGAAGTCCCCTCTGCTCCTGGAGACCATCTTAATTGCATTTGGAGTTCCCGGGTCTCTCCCACCGCCCATTATCTGCCAGGAAGGGCCGGAGTCGATGCACAGTGCCCTGTTTTCAGCGGTCTGTGTGGTGTTGCAGTGCCCTCAGAAGCAGATGGGTCATTGTGCTCTCAGGGGGAGCCGTCCCGTCCAGCTCAGCTCACAGCATGATATCTTATACGTTACACCTCGGCCGCTGACCACCACCTGTGCTTAGACCTCAACTGTCTGAGCATCTGCACTTCTCTAACATCCCTCATTTTTGCAGGTCGTTGCTAGGGTGTTGCTGTGCAGTTGCTAGGGGGGTTTTGTACTGGTTCAAATCAACAGAGCCAACTGAAAGTCTCTGATATTCTGGTTTCTTGGGTCCCTCATTTAATGCTATTTTTTATTATTTGTCCTGCAATGTGATAAATGCATTTTTAAAAATGCAAATATGTGACCCTGTCTGTGAAATCCAGGCTAAAGTCTCAGAATCTATTTATGAGATAACAAGCATCAAAGTTTGATTTCAACCATTAATTTCACTATGATTTCAATCTTTGACATGGCCTTACTCAGTCAATATTAAAGATATAAAGGTTATATTTTCACAGAATGTTTTACATCTTTATAAAGGATGATTTTATGTAGAAAACAGTAAATCACAAAAAAATGACTTTAGCTGGGTTTTCACATATTCTGTTTAGCCTCTAAATTGATAGTTGTCATAACTGCATACATAATGTTTATTAATAATCATAAATATTAATATAAATATACTGAATATTATTAATTTGTTATTTTGAATTAATAATAATTAATCAAATCCTAAAAATGTACAATTACAATAATTAATTTGAAAATAAAAACAATCCAAATAAAATGCTTAATAAAAAAGATGAAATATTTGGTTTACCTGCATGCTGTGTGATCACTAACCGATATTTTAGTATTTTTATACACTATTATATTTTTGTTGTTCTAAATATTAAGAAATATTATGTTTTCTTAAATTCAAAATATTAATATTTTAAATTAGCTTTAATTTTTATATTAAAGTTTTTTAGTGGTCATGTTATGTGCTTTTGCCAATTTTATTAGTTTTTGTTTTAGCATTGCTATTTATGTTTCATTTATTTTTAGTTCAGTTTTATTTTTTATTAATTTTCCAGTTTTATTATTTTAGTGCTTCAAGCTACATTTATTTCAGTTAGTTGCCAAGTCAACATTTCTAATTATTGTTTAGTTAAAATTGTTTGGCTACTATTAATATTTATTTTTTTCATCTTTATTTCTTAAAATGAAAACTGGAAATATAAAAATATAATAGTAACTAAAATAGTTACTAAAATACTATTATAAAATAGTTATAATAGTAACTAAAAAATATAATATAAAAATAATACTTGGATGGTTACTGGTCACACAACCTAAATAAAATATAAGTAAGTTTTTTTGTTTGTTTTTTTCAAATTACTTAATGTAATTGTTCATTTTTAGGATATAATTAATTATATAGTTAATTATTATTAATAATGTATAATGTTAATATTAATATTTATAATATTTTATTCATAAGTATTTCTAACTATGATGATTACAATTGATAATGATCAATTGACAGGAATATAAAATGCATTTTTCACATTGCAGCACTATTTTAAATCTAAAACAATAACCAAAACACATTAAATGAGCAACCCAAGAAACCAGAGACGGGGATGTCCGAGACTTTATCAGAATATCAAAAGCATTACAAATTTGTAATTTTTTCATATTTTTCCAAATCCCTCTTTTCCAGATGAGTAAAAACAGGGAGTCCATAATATCTCAGACTGCCTTTGCAGTGACAATACACACAACCCGTATAAAGCCTGCTCTCATTTCTTTCTTTTTTTTTGGGGAGCTGCTTCTTAAATCCCGTTTGAGGCGAGAGGACCAGACCGGATCTAGTCTTATGAAGTTGCATGTGTGCAGGAGGTCAGAGAGAGAGAGAACTTCTTGAGGCTGGTTCATGGTTGAGTGATGGGATTTGTGTGGGATCCTGGTCTAACGGAAGTGAAAACAGAGGGCCGCTTTGAGCCCGGAGGATTTTAGCTCTGCTGAATCCCGTGTGCCATGACGTCTGCTTTCCCTGCAGTGATGGCAATTCAGCAAACTGATGTTTTTGATCAAGTTTCAAATAGTGGAAGACGTATTGTGTTCTATAAATAAAATGAACAGGATCAGGCAGCTCCGCCTGGGAATGAACCGACTTCCTCTGGCTCACGCTCTGAATGGAAAACATATACAATGCATCTAAATAGCTTTGGCAAGATTTAGCTCATGGGTATGTGTTTAACTTTGTCCTCATGCCATTTGAGAGATATTTTTGATATATAAGACTATAAGTTTGTTCCAAAACCTACTGAGCTCCCTATCTAGGTGCCATCTTTAAGCAGTGTGTAATTAAGATTTTTAAATGTTTTAAAAGAAGTTTCTTATGCTCACCAAGGGTGTGTTTATTTGTTAAAACATACAGTAAAAACAGTAATATTTTGAAATATTATTACTATTTAAAATAACTGTTTTCTATTGGAATATATTTTCAAATGTAATTTATTCATGTGAGTCAAAGCTGAATTTTCAACATCATTACCTTCAGAAATCATTCTAATATGCAGATTTGCTGCTCAAGAAACATTTCTGATTATTATCAATGTTGAAAACTGTCGTGCTGCTTCATATTGTTATGTAAACCATGATACATTTAGTTTTTCAGGATTCTTTGATGAATAGAAAGTTCAAAAGGACAGCATTTATTTGAAATAGAAATATGTTGTATCATTATAATTGTCTTTCCAGTCACTTTTGATCAATTTAACGCATCTTTGCTGAATAAACATGTATTTCTTTAAAAAAAAAAAAACATTAACTGCACACTTTTGAGTAGTAGTGTATTTTATGTTTCAAAATAATTGAATTTAAATAAGAAATACTGTTTTGCCAGCTTTTTGTGTTTTATGTATTTTAATGCCTTTAGGATATCATGCCGATGGTTTAGTAACATGCTAAGGCCATTGATATCAGTCGTAAGTGAGTGATTTGTGTGAAAACTGTTGTTTGTATTGTGCATGGACTTGTTGCCCATGTAAAGCATTCACATTATTAATTTATGATGCTCCATTTCAGCTATTATGCTGCCTGCATAGATAGTAGACATTAAGGATGCTTGCTAGGTTTTAGAACACAACCAGTGTTTGACTTCTACATTTCTGCATTTGGCAGATGCTTTTATCTTACATTGCATTCGTTTTATCAGTTCATGCATCACTTGGGAATCGAACCCACAACATTGGCGTTGCTAGTGCCATGCTTTTTTAAGCTTTAGAAACACTTGGACGAGCACATGCCTTCAGGTGGACTTGAAGACTCACTAGTACATACTGGTTATTGAACATGTGACTGCATATGATGCATGGGCCCCAGAGCCGCTCTTATCCCTCTCATCCAGCTGACCAAATACGGCTCTGCTTTAGTCACAAGCGGAAGAAAAACAACACGCTCTTGTCAGTCCTCAGCAGTGCAGATAAAGAACAGGCTTTATTTATAACATCCTGCTGTTTAACGACACAAGACTGTGAGGATTTTCCATTCATTCAGTCCAAAACTAACCTACTAACCGCGTCCTGCTGGGAAAGATAGGAAAACCCTGGGACTATTCTGGGACTTTGATTGCACATATACGTCTATGTGTTTTATTAGCAGTAAAATAAATTAAAATGGCAATTTTCAGGTGTTAACGTCCATTATCTGTGATTGACGTGTGTGTGTGTGTGTGTATGTGTCTCTTGTCAGGTGGCGGTGGCGGCGGCGGGCAGCCCGTCTCCGCGGCGTTCCCTGTACCGGACTCTCTCAGACGAGAGCGTGTGCAGTAACAGGAAGGGGTCGTCCTATGCCAGCTCGCGGAGCTCCATGCTGGACCAGGCCATGCCCAACGACATCCTGTTCAGCAGCACTCCACCCTACCACAGCACCCTGCCCCCCCGCATCAGCCTCAGCCAGCCCACATCTAACCTCAAGAGTGAGTGCTGCACCCTCACCAGACATCACGTCTGTCTATCGTTCTATCTGTGTATCATTCTATCTATCTATCGTTCTATCTATCTATCTATCTGTGTATCGTCTATCTAGCTATCTATCGTTCTGTGTATCATCTGTCTATCGTTCTATCTATCGTTCTATCTGTGTATCATTCTATCTATCTATCGTTCTATCTATCTATCTATCTGTGTATCGTCTATCTATCGTTCTGTGTATCATCTATCTATCGTTCTATCTATCGCTCTATCTATCTATTGTTCTATCTATCGCTCTATCTATCTATCTATCTATCTATCTGTCTATCGTCTATCTATCGTTCTATCTGTGTATCATTCTATCTATCTATCGTTCTATCTATCTATCTATCTGTGTATCGTCTATCTATCGTTCTGTGTATCATCTATCTATCGTTCTATCTATCGCTCTATCTATCTATCTATCTATCTATCTGTCTATCGTCTATCTATCGTTCTATCTGTGTATCGTTCTGTGTATCTATCTATCGTTCTGTGTATCGTTCTGTATCATCTATCAATCGTTCTATCTATCTATCGCTCTAACTATCTATCTACAGTGCCTTGCAAAAGTATTCATATAAAACAATTGTTTTTTTACATTTTGTTATGTTGCTGCCTTATGATAAACTTCTTTAAATTACTTAATTTTTCCACATCAATCTACACTCCATACACCATACTGACAAAGCAATCTATCTATTTTTTAATTAGATCTATCTATCGGTTTGTCTATCTATTGTTCTGTATTCTTTTGTATTCATTTAATCATATTCAAATTTAGTTACAAAATGCAATGTCAATTTATTTTAATTACACTTCCTTACATTCAAATTCAAATTACACATTTTGTTTTCAGTGTTATTACAGCATTGCTGATGGGAAGGGATTTTGGAAACTTAAATCACACTTATACATGTTTGAATGTGGTCAGATGCTTCAGGGTCTTTTCTTTCTCTTTAAACTAAATTTTCATATTGGTGTATTGCTGATTGTTAGTGGATGTATGAAGTCGGTTGCATTTTCCACGTTGTCACAAGGAACGCTATAGTAGGGCTGTGCAATAAATCGCATGTGATAGTAATGCGCATCTCGTCAGTAAAGCCGGGTTCCGTGATTAGTAGTAAATCTCCATCACCTGCTTTCAGATGGAGCAGCATTTACTACACAGAGCCGTAGTTCACTGACAATTAGGCAATATCGCGTTCATTATCGCAGATTGAATTGCCTGCGATAATGAACGCGATATTGCCTTGTCAGTGACGTAAATGCTGCTCCATATGAAAGCAGGTGATGGAGATTTACTACTAATCACGGAACCAGCTTTACTGACTTTTACACGCTATAGTGTACATTAGCCTTAACAATCATCTTGATGTCATGACGACTACTGTTAGAAGAGAATCATGCTGAGATAAAGATAATTTAAAGTTAAGTTTAGTTGACATGTTGCCATGTTTATTGCAGCTAATAATAACGGAATAACATCTGGATTCATGCCACAGACAGCATTTCTATTGTTTTATTTAAAATCTAACAAACTCAGATTGTTTTGCTTTAAAAAATAGTTTTGCTTAAATTGTGTTTGTGCTAGCTTGTCATGAATGATGCATGCTTTTGGTGTTATGCAATATTTATTGTTATTATTGTTTATTATTATCATCTAGCGATCGGAGATCGGCCTCAAAAATCCTGATCGGAGCACCTCTAGTTATTATTAATACATGCATTGTTATAAATAGTAATTAATTAAATACATTATTATTAATTGCTAATAATAATAATAATAAAACATTTTGAACAATAATATAAATATGATTATAATGTTTATTATCTGATTTTTAAGGGTGACCTAACTCTCTAAAATACTTTTAATCTTCATTTTAAGCAGCATATCTATTGTTATTTAAAATTTAACAGGCTGTTTTTTTCCACGTTTTGCATAAAAAGAGTGTTTGTGCTATTATTATTTAATAACGAAGAAAAACATTTATTTAGATATTTTGTGTTCTAATGCAATAGTGTTTATTAGTATTATTTTATTTAAATTTGTATATTTTATAGTGTAAAATATAGTAATGTTTTATATTGTATTTATATAAATAATATTAATTAATTACATGTTTTATTCATTTTTATATAATTGTATTAATCATTAATTATTGTGTTACCTTTTTAATAATAACAATAATATAAATATTACAATGGTTACAAATCTGAAATTAATTATAATAGTATTTGTATCAGATTAAGTGTGGCTTAAGTCTCCAAATATGTTTTGGGTCCACAATAAGAGAACTCAAATTGAAGATATTGATCTGCCACCGGTTGTCTGTAGTGGGGTAAACCTTCTCTAGATTTACTGCAAGTGACACATGAAATAAATGACGGATAAAGGCGCAATTACACACACCCGAGCAAACAATCACATCTCATTTGGTTTAAAGGATGTGTAATATGAACACATTTAGCAGCTTTAATCAGAGTGTGAGAGCTGATTCATTTATAGCTGGTTTTTCGAGTGGCCCGAGGAGGCTGATGCTGTCACGCGCGATCAATTTCTGATTGTTTCGACAGATAGCAGTTTGCGGATTTTTTCCTCACCCTGCTCATCTAGTGAACGCTCTAATTTGACAGATTGCATCCCTCTGAGGCTCAGAGAGAGAGAGAGACATTTACCTCCGGTGTTTCCCCTCACATCATTCTCAGAGCCAGTTCTTTGTGAGATGGAAATGTTTATAGCGTATCCTGTCTATCAGGGAGAGAGAGATGTACAAAGAGAGGTCTGGATGCATGCAGTTGATTGAAAAATGAGGCCATGTTTTAGGAGCTCCTGACGGCTGCAGCTCTGCTCCTAAACCCAAACGAGACTGGATTTAAGACTTAAGACTTCATCCGCTGACAGGACGGCTGTCCAACACGGTGCTGCTGCATAAAATCACTTATTTTTGCGTTTAAGCAGCATTGCATGTATCCTTAGAAGAGGGTAATTGAGACATAATGGGCCTTGAGGCATTAATACTTTTATTCAGCAAGCGTTCATTAAATTGGTCAAAAGTGACAGTAAAGACATTTATAATGCTACAAAAGATTTAAATTTAAATAAATGCTGTTCTTTTGAATTTTCTATACATCAAAGAATCCTATATATCATGACTTCTAAATATTGGCCAAAAATATTGAGCAGCACAACTGTTTTCAACATTGATAATAATCAGAAATGTTTCTTGAGCAGCAAATCAACATATTAGAATGATTTCTGAAGGAAGAATGGAGTAATGATGCTGAATTAAATGACAGTTTACACTATATTAAAGAGAATACAGCTATTTTATATTGTAATAATATTTCACAAATTTACTGTATTTTCTATCAAATAAATGCAGCCTTGGTGAGCAGAAGAGACGTGTGGTGTGGGGGGGGGGGGGCTAGTCTGTCATCTATATTCTTGAAGACTTTAATCTCCTAGTGAGCAGATTTCAGATGAACGGTCTGATCTTGCTCTCGTTCTGCTGTCAGTTGTGTTGGAGGGTGAAGTCTTTGAGATCTTGTTAAAGGAATCATTATGTGGTGAAGACAGCAGGTGACCGATTCAACCGTTTTTTCTTCAGCTCTGTCACTCCCACTGCCTTCATTGCAGTGACCTTCCTGACCTCCCGACCTCCCGACAGATGTAGTGAATTGAGCACTAACTGTGTTTCTGCTGAGAAGAGTTTGGTGCTGTACGCGTGTCGCTGATCTGTCTCTTTGTGTGTGTGAATGTCTCTTCAGATGAGTTCTGGTTCTCTGACAGCTCGCTGGCCGACCGCTCGAAGTTCAGCGACCCGGGTCTCATGCCTCTGCCGGACACCGCCACGGGCCTGGACTGGTCTCACCTCGTGGACGCCGCCAGAGCCTTTGAAGGTAGGTGGAGAAACACTGAAATGCAGCATGAGTCTGGTTTCTGAGGCAGAAACTGAAGCGGCATTCATGCTGAACTCCAAAAATATTTCAGATTTGTGGATTTGAATTGCATATAAAATTCTCATGCATTTGGATTACATGGTTTTAACATAAATAAACTAATAAACTTAATGTAATGCATATTCGTCAGTCATGCATAAATGAAACAAATCGGATTTCTGTAATAATACTAATAAACTGAGTGTGTTTTAAATACACAATAACCAGGTTTATATATTTGTCATAAATAAATCCAGTTAGTTTCAATCTCATGCATTTTAACTAACTTAATATTGCTTATTCCACAACCCTAGCCATATTTGAACTTTATTCATGCTTTTTAACTTAATAAATGTAACTGTTTTCGCATTGAACAGATTTATGCTGATTCTAAGCAATTTGAATAAATGCATTTCAAATATGATTTAAATAAAATCAAATAGATGCAAATAGTTAATAATGACACTTGGTTTGATATTTTGAGGTCTAATGAAATATTATTATTATTATTATTATTTATTGTTATTATGATTAATAATAATAATTAGTAGTATGTGATTATTATGAATCATAATAATTATATGTAATGTGTTTATGTTGTTATATGTTATATAAAATAGTTATATTTTTAGATATTTATATTGTGTGTACATATATTAATTTTTATTAATTAGTTATTAACGATGAACATATTTGTTTATTCTAAGCATATATATGCAAATAATTAATAACATTTTGTTTGATATTTTGTGGTCTAATGGAGTAATATTGTTTATTATTATTAATAATAATAATAATTACATGTAATATTTATATAAATATATAGATTTTTTATTTTTGTATATTTAATATTAATCTATTATATTAATTGTCAATAATACTCAATGTGTTTTAAATGCACAATAACTAGGTTTATATATTTATCATCATATTTGTTTCAGTCTCATGCATTTGAACTAATTCAACATTGCACGTTCCACAGCTAGCCAAATTTGAACCATGTTCATACTTTTTAATAAATGTAATTGTTTTCCCAACGAACAGATTTGAGTAAATGCATTTTGAAAATACCAGCCTGGTTATTGTGCATTTAAAACCCATTCAGTTTATTATAATCAGCATCATAACAGAAATCTTGCCCTTTTCTTACCCGTTTCATTTATGTATGAAGTTTAGTAGTTATTCATGTTACAACTGTGTAATCCAAATGGATGGAAATTTTATATGCAATTTAGATACATAAATCTCAAATTCAGGCCTAAATATCTGAGTGCAGACACCTTGAATCAGCCGAGCGCTGCCACCTGCAATCAAACACTCAGCCGGCATGCTGGGTAATTATCATTTGCATGTGAACACACACGGCTCTGGTGCTGTCTGTCCCGCTCTCATCCTCCTGTGGGCTCCTGTCATTCTCTAAATGGATTAGTAAGGAGGCCATCGTCATTTTGTTAATGGCTCCTGTCTTCATCCAAGGCATTTAAGCTGTTTTTCAGTGCTGTGGTGGAGGACGGCCTCAAGCTGATGTTTGTGAGGAGCTTTAGTGGTTGTTTTTTCATTTGAAGGTATTCATTGGTCTAGATTCTTCTCAAGGAGAATCGATGTTATGAATTAAACCTGAGATTCAGGCATAAATGGATTGTTTTGCCTGCATGTAAACCTAAATACTGTTATCTTCTCATTGCATCAACTGAAGAACATTGCACACCTTTCCTGTTTGGGTGATGAAATCATGAAATTGAGTCTAGGTTGTATTTTACAAAAAACTCAAAGGAGAAATTCAATAATATTTTACAAAATGAAGCCTATTTTTAGGAGTATTAAGATGTTTTTGCGTTGTGTTTTGCATTATTCTCATGCGAGTTAAGCACAAATCTTCATTACTTTAATGCATCTGGATGCTTTAAATTATGTTTGTAAATTTCATTATTTTTAATTCTAATTAAAATTAGATTCTAATTAGATTCTTAGTAAAAGTAACTCTTTAAAACACTTTCATATATATATATATATATACACATATATACATATATATTTTTGCATTGTGACAATATTTTCATACCAATTAAGTCTCAAAATAATGTCAAAATGCAAAGAATATTAATGAAATGAAGACTATTATTATTATTATTTATTTTTAAAGTTTAAAAGGCTTTTTTCCATTTTAGACTTACTCCGCCAATCAAATCTGAAAAAATGTGTGTGTATATATATTTTTATATATATATATATATATATATATATATATATATATATATATATATATATATATATATATATATATATATACACACACACAGGGGTGCACATAAGGTTTTCAGTCTAATTCTCATGAAAGCACCTGGAGATTTGGTTTGCTGCTCACACTGCACATATGGTGTGACCTATTAAATATAACTTAACATTTTTTTTAGAATTATTGCACTTTATTTATTTAGTTTTTTTTTATATCAAATGATAAACAAAATAATAAAGTGTGATAATACAATTTTTTTTCCATTTTAGGCTGAAATCTGAGAGACTTATGCCACCAATCAAATCTATATAATTAATGAAAAGATTAAAATTATTGATTCATTACACACTAAAGTAAATGTATCATGTGCTACCTTTGGTTGATGCTACCTTGAATAATTATATATTAACATAAAATGTTAAACAAATATTTAATAATAATAATAACATCTCAGCTATATTTGAATAGTCGTAATTTAGTTTGGAATCTGTTGCATGCAGAGCATTGATTAAGTCCCAGAATGCATCTGTGCATCTGGCAACACACAGCAGAGCTCTAGTGTGTGATTACAAACACTTCATCTAGATTTCTGTGAAGATCAACACAACATACTGAACTTTGAAAACTTTCGTGTGGTCTGCTGAACCGTCAGATGTTTCTGTGAGGAGCCGCTGAAAGAGAGAAATACAGAGCTTTGATTGTCGTGTTTTTAATGAAAGACTACCAGAAACACACATGTAGGAATCTATCTATCAGCTATCAGCTAGCTATCTCAACTTTTGCATTGTGCTAATGAGAATTTGGAGGGGAAATGTGCTAATAATAGTAATAATAATAAAAATGAGAAAAAAGTATGTTTTCTTGCTAAATTAAAGGCAAATTAACCTTTATTTTACTTTTTGTATGTAATCAGAATATGGTGGGAAAATGTGCTTATAATAATAATAATGATGATTGCAAAATAAATGAATTTTTTTCATTATGGTAATCAGGATCTGGAGGGGAAATGTGTTTATAATAATGAAAAAATTGTCTGTTTTCTTGTCAAATTAAATGCAAAAACTTTTGGCATTATGGTTATGAATTTGAAGGGGACATGTGCTAGTGGTAATAATAATAATGCTAAAGATATTCTGTTTTCTTGCTAAATTAAAGGCAAATTAACTTATTTAATTTTTTTGCATTGTGATCAGAATTTTGAGAGGAAATGTGCTAATAATTTATAATAATAATAGTAATGATGATGATGCAAGAAAAAATTATTGGAAAATTAAATGCATTTATTTATTGTTTAATTTTTTTTTTCATGATGGGAATCAGGATTTGGAGGGGAAATGTGCTTATGATAATGCAAAAATTAGATACAAGTGTGAAATATGTTTATCTTATTTTTTTGCATTATGGTAATGAGAATTTAGAGGGGAAATGTCCTTATAATAATAATGAATGTATTTTGGAGGGGAAATGTGCTCGTTATATAAGTATGACCTATGTAAAGTACCAATGAGCGAATTTAATGGTTTATTGTTTTTTTTTTTTTTTGTATATTATGAATACTGTTGGCTTTTTGACAAATTGTCTTTGTTCCCCTTTTGTAAGTCGCTTTGGATAAAAGCATCTGCTAAATGCATAAATGCTAAATTTTGCGCTGGGTAGCCCCGCCCACATTGGCATCTCATTGGTCCAATATCCAGTTGCACATAACTATGCATTAAACATAAAATGTTCTGATTGGCTGATGGCATGTCAGTATCATCCATTTTCACTTTCAGTGTGGACAAACAAAAAACGATCAAAATCACATTCAACGTTGCTCTTTCACTCTATTACATGTGAACATTCTGTACTAAAGGAAATGTGCTTATGATAATGCAAAAATTAGATACAAGTGTGAAATATGTTTATCTTATTTTTTTGCATTATGGTAATGAGAATTTAGAGGGGAAATGTCCTTATAATAATAATGAATGTATTTTGGAGGGGAAATGTGCTCGTTATATAAGTATGACCTATGTAAAGTACCAATGAGCGAATTTAATGGTTTATTGTTTTTTTTGTTTTTTTGTATATTATGAATACTGTTGGCTTTTTGACAAATTGTCTTTGTTCCCCTTTTGTAAGTCGCTTTGGATAAAAGCATGTGCTAAATGCATAAATGCTCGCTTTTTGACAAATTGTCTTTGTTCCCCTTTTGTAAGTCGCTTTGGATAAAAGCATCTGCTAAATGCATAAATGCTAAATTTTGCGCTGGGTAGCCCCGCCCACATTGGCATCTCATTGGTCCAATATCCAGTTGCACATAACTATGCATTAAACATAAAATGTTCTGATTGGCTGATGGCATGTCAGTATCATCCATTTTCACTTTCAGTGTGGACAAACAAAAAACGATCAAAATCACATTCAACGTTGCTCTTTCACTCTATTACATGTGAACATACTGTACTAAACCAAAAGCGTCTGGACTGAAGCGATTGGTGTTGGTTCAGAGTGACTGCTCTCGTTTTTACAGTCGTCCTCAGCTGACACTCAAACAAATGAGCCGACGAACCATAGAGCTGCTAAAACCAGCGCAAACTGCTTCACATACCATCAATACACTTAAAAGACTGATGCAATATTTGGAAACACACTTCTAGTTTTAGAGGAGATGCTTGTTTCTGGGTCTCGCTGTGACCCAGAATAACGCTGCATAAAAACACTGAGAGATAAATTTAGCTTACAACATATTTGCCCTCCATTTGCATCAGCGAGCACGGATGTAAGTCAACAAGAAGAAATTAGTGTTTAAAAAATGCAGAACAAATGTTCATAAACGCACTGTTTTATTGAGTAGCTCCGGCTAAACGCTCAACAGCTTCATAAACTTTTTTTTAAGAGTCCCGTGGCTCTTTACTGCTAGTTTCAGGACACAAGGTCTCACTTTTTCATTAAATACAAACTTAAACTGGATGCAAACCCAACATTAGATATGAAAAGCTGATCTGAGGCCAGTTTTTTTTCCTTGTGCAGATGTTTTGAACAAATCAAGGGTTTCATCAGATGTCATGAGACCTAAAGACAGACACAGACAGCAATGAGAATGAAAATACAGTTATACTGTGTTTTATCGTCTCCAAAATTGATTTCCCCTACAAATTCTCGTTACCATAATGGAGAAAAAAAAGCTAATTGCCATTTAATTCCGCAAGAATATAGACTATACAAATAGACAAAAAATAGTCTATTTTCTTGCTAAATTAAATGCAGATGCTTTTTTTTTTTTGCATTACGGTAATGAGAATTTGTAGCGGAAATGTGCTTATAATAATAATAATATTAATGTAAAACTAGTTTATTTTCTTGCCAAATTAAATGCATATGCATTATTTAATTTATTTTATTTGAATTTTTTCATTATGGTAATGAGAATTTGTAGGGGAAATGTGCTAATAAATAATGCAAAAATTATTTATTTTCTTGTCAAATTAAATGCAGGTGCATTATTTATTTATTTATTTATTTATTTATTTTTGCTTTATGGTAAAAATAATTTGTAAGGGAAATGTGCTTATTACAAAAATAATAATAATAATGGAAAAATCGTTGATTTTCTTGTCAAATTAAATGTAAATGCATTTTTAATTTTATTATTTATTTATCTATTTATTATATATTAGGGCTTCTTGCATTAAGGATAAACAATCTATGAAAAAACACACACACACACACATACATATATATACAGTGGGGCAAAAAAGTATTTAGTCAGCCACCAATTGTGCAAGTTCTCCCACTTAAAAAGATGAGAGAGGCCTGTAATTTTCATCATAGGTATACCTCAACTATGAGAGACAAAATGAGAAAAAAAATCCAGAAAATCACATTGTAGGATTTTTAAAGAATTAATTGGTAAATTCCTCGGTAAAATAAGTATTTGGTCACCTACAAACAAGCAAGATTTCTGGCTCTCACAGACCTGTAACTTCTTCTTTAAGAGCCTCCTCTGTCCTCCACTCGTTACCTGTATTAATGGCATCTGTTTGAACTCATTATCAGTATAAAAGACACCTGTCCAAAACCTCAAACAGTCACACTCCAAACTCCACCATGGCCAAGACAAAAGAGCTGTCAAAGGACACCAGAAAAAAAAATTGTAGACCTGCACCAGGCTGGGAAGACTAAATCTGCAATAGGTAAGCAGCTTGGTGTGAAGAAATCAACTGTGGGAGCAATTATTAGAAAATGGAAGACACACAAGACCACTGATAATCTCCCTCGATCTGGGGCTCCACGCAAGATCTCACCCCGTGGGGTCAAAATGATCACAAGAACTGTGAGCAAAAATCCCAGAACCACACGGGGGAACCTAGTGAATGACCTGCAGAGAGCTGGGACCAAAGTAACAAAGGCTACCATCAGTAACACACTGCACCGCCAGGGACTCAAATCCTGCAGTGACAGACGTGTCCCCCTGCTTAAGCCAGTACATGTCCAGGCCCGTCTGAAGTTTGCTAGAGAGCATTTGGATGATCCAGAAGAGGATTGGGAGAATGTCATATGGTCAGATGAAACCAAAATAGAACTTTTTGGTAAAAACTCAACTTGTCATGTTTGGAGGAGAAAGAATGCTGAGTTGCATCCAAAGAACACCATACCTACTGTGAAGCATGGGGGTGGAAACATCATGCTTTGGGGCTGTTTTGATTGGTGTTGGTTCAGAGTGACTGCTCTCGTTTTTACAGTCGTCCTCAGCTGACACTCAAACAAATGAGCCGACGAACCATAGAGCTGCTAAAACCAGCGCAAACTGCTTCACATACCATCAATACACTTAAAAGACTGATGCAATATTTGGAAACACACTTCTAGTTTTAGAGGAGATGCTTGTTTCTGGGTCTCGCTGTGACCCAGAATAACGCTGCATAAAAACACTGAGAGATAAATTTAGCTTACAACATATTTGCCCTCCATTTGCATCAGCGAGCACGGATGTAAGTCAACAAGAAGAAATTAGTGTTTAAAAAATGCAGAACAAATGTTCATAAACGCACTGTTTTATTGAGTAGCTCCGGCTAAACGCTCAACAGCTTCATAAACTTTTTTTTAAGAGTCCCGTGGCTCTTTACTGCTAGTTTCAGGACACAAGGTCTCACTTTTTCATTAAATACAAACTTAAACTGGATGCAAACCCAACATTAGATATGAAAAGCTGATCTGAGGCCAGTTTTTTTTCCTTGTGCAGATGTTTTGAACAAATCAAGGGTTTCATCAGATGTCATGAGACCTAAAGACAGACACAGACAGCAATGAGAATGAAAATACAGTTATACTGTGTTTTATCGACTCCAAAATTGATTTCCCCTACAAATTCTCGTTACCATAATGGAGAAAAAAAAGCTAATTGCCATTTAATTCCGCAAGAATATAGACTATACAAATAGACAAAAAATAGTCTATTTTCTTGCTAAATTAAATGCAGATGCTTTTTTTTTTTTGCATTACGGTAATGAGAATTTGTAGCGGAAATGTGCTTATAATAATAATAATATTAATGTAAAACTAGTTTATTTTCTTGCCAAATTAAATGCATATGCATTATTTAATTTATTTTATTTGAATTTTTTCATTATGGTAATGAGAATTTGTAGGGGAAATGTGCTAATAAATAATGCAAAAATTATTTATTTTCTTGTCAAATTAAATGCAGGTGCATTATTTATTTATTTATTTATTTTTGCTTTATGGTAAAAATAATTTGTAAGGGAAATGTGCTTATTACAAAAATAATAATAATAATGGAAAAATCGTTGATTTTCTTGTCAAATTAAATGTAAATGCATTTTTAATTTTATTATTTATTTATCTATTTATTATATATTAGGGCTTCTTGCATTAAGGATAAACAATCTATGAAAAAACACACACACACCCAGGTTCAGTGTGACTGACCTGGGACAAATTATTATTAACACATATTATTATTATTATTATTATCACATTGCTATATATCCAGTAGTCTGCCATCAGATATGAGTTGGTTGCAGTCCTGTCACATTCAGCACTGAGTTGTGGTGTTTATGTGTTATGGTGATATGGTGATATTGTGATATTGAGAACCCATCGAGAGTCTGTCTGATGTGTTTATGTGTCCAGACCAGCGCGTGGCCTCGTTCTGCACCATGACGGACATGCAGAGAGCCGAAGCGCTGCAGATCTCGCGTGAGCTCACCAGACGCGTGGCAGCCGCTGAGGGAGCTGCACTGGAGGCCGGGTGAGTTTAACACCGAACACACACACACACAATACACTGTGTGTTCATGCTCAGACTAACAGCTCTGTCTCGCTCTTCAGCGATACGTCTCCAGCCACGCTGACGGGTAAAGTCAATCAGCTGGAGGTCATCCTGAGACAGCTGCAGTATGACCTGAAGAAGGTAAACTGTCCCGTCCTGATGGAAAACAATAACGGTTATTTAGGTTCACCATAGATGATCTGATTTACATTTCTGGACAGGATGATCATTACTGTATTACGTTACTTGCTTATTTATTTATTGTAATGAGAATTTGTTGGGGAAATGTGCTTAATTGTCATTATTATAATAATAATAATAATAATGCAAAAAAAGGCTTAATTTTCTTGAAAAATTAAATGCAGATGCATTTAGTTTTGATGGAGACCACTGAAGACTTTCAGGACTGCACGCCATTGACCTACACTAGCAAAGCCCGATTCCTACTGCAATTCAATGAGATGTAGAATGTAAGTATATTCTGGACTGGAAAAGCCACTTTTGTTGGTGTAGATGAGCAGCGGAGACAAACGGAGGCAGGTTTAGCCTGGAGAATGTACTCAATTAGCAACTAAACGATGTTTCTGGAGGTGGATTATGAATGTAATGCATCAAGACTTGGCGAGACGTTTGATTTTCTGCCTCCGTTATTGAAAGGTGCAATCAAACGTTGAAGTTCAGCGGGTCAATGGTACCTTCATCGCTCGCGTTTCCAATCATTTCTGCCCACATTCATCAAGTTCTGGCAATAAGGTTCATGGATTTCACAAACAAACACAATGTGAAGAGTTCCTGAAGCTGTAAATGTTGAGATTGTGCCTCTAAAAAAAGGCGACATGAAGCAGGTGTGTACATAACGTGGCTTTCCTCTCCTGCCTCGTCTCGAATCCGCAGTCACATGCCAAAACTCTGTGTCCATGTCTGTACAGAACCTCCAATCAAGTGTGTTATTTAAGCTTATTTAACCTAATGAGCGGCTTCTGGAGGGACGGCTGTGAGAAGGCCATACTGTGACCGTTTTGCCAGGACTGTGTCTGAAACATAGATTTCTTGATGATTTGTCTTTTTTTCCCTCATTCCAACATTTGGATGCTGCTAGATAACACTTTGTTGGTTTCTATGCTTTTACAAATGTGTTTGTCTGTAAATCTATTGCATGTACGATGGGACATTTGGTTGCTTTTTTTTTTGTTTTTGTTTTTTAATAAATGTAGTATGTAAAATCAATCAGATGCGTCGTCTTAATATTTCAGGTTTTAGGAAAAAAACACTGATGAGCAGATTATAACATCTATGTTCTAATATGTTATTTACTTATTTTGATTGCCTGATTTTCATTACTTCAGTGTGAGGGGGAAAATCATTCCTGTACGAGAATGTTTTAACTTATTTATTTTTATTTTTATTTATTTATACACTTTTTGCATTATGGTCATGGGATTTGTAGGGGAAATAATAATAATAATGCAAAAAGAAATGCAATTTTTTTTCTTGCAATTAAATGCAATATTAAGATCATGAGAATTTGTAGTGGAAATGTACTTAATTTTCATGATAATAATAATAATGTCACAATGCAACTAAATAGTCATTTTCTTTTTAATTAGATGCAAATGTCAAATTTGATTTTCGCATCAAGAAAGGTGCTTCATTTTCATAATAATAATAAATAATAATAATGAAAAAACAAATAGGCTTCATTTTCTTACGAAATAAGATGGAAATGCAAAATATATATATATATATATATTATTTATTTTTTTTGCATTATAGTAATACAAATTTTTGGGGGAAATGTGCTTATAATAATAATAGTAATAATGCAAAAAAAATAAATGCATTTGCATTTAATTTTGCAAGAAAATTAAATGCAAATGCATTTTATTATTTGCATTATGGTCATATGAATTTGTAGGATAATTGTGCTTAATTGTCATTTCTTGCGAAATTAGATGCAAATGCAAAATTTGGGATTTTGTGTCAAGTATGACGAATGTTTCGTCCTGAGATTGGCTCAGCTGGCAGGTCCACAAACATCTGCCTCTTTCTAAACCTCCTGTGAGATTGACTTTCTGATGACACTGACATTTTCTCCAGTTCAGCATCAGCAGAGAATTATTGTTGCCATGGAAGCCGCATATTCCGCCGAGGACCCTTTTGGGAATACCTGCCTGAGAATAAGTTCATTTGTAATGGACACTTATCTGAGCTTCCACAGACGGGCCTGCTGCAGGTGCGTGTGCATGAGGGTATTAAATGGATGTAGTTCATTCTGCAAACCACTTTAAAACGAATAATTTACCCCTAAATTACAATTCTGTACAATTACATTTCTAGGTGAACTAATGCTTAGAAACTGATGTTGATGCATCTGGTTGTAGCTGTTTGTGTCTCTGCTGAAGTAGAAGATTCTTTGTTTTTATATGTAAATTGTTAAAGCTTCAAAGAGGCCAACCTCAAAAATTACATTGTTTAAAAAATCTACTTTCCATTTACACACACTGTAAATCCCAGCTGCCAGGAATTTCTTTCCAACATCAGAGACCACCACAAGATTGAAGTGGTATGAGAGGGGGAGACGTGCAATTCAGGGAACAGAGCAACACACACACATTCCCAGTCGAGCTGCAGGAGGTCGGAATGACACGGATTCATGGAAGCGTTCCTGTTCTCCACATGTGTTCGTAAGCTGGAGACTATCACAGTCTTACACACTGAAACATGATGAAGACTCATTTACAGGCCACTGGTAATATTTACCCAAAGCAGACAGGAAGTGGAGATGTGACACACTGTGAGATGTAGAGATGCTCGTTGAGTCACGGTTGACTGTATTTTGAGCCCATGTGACACACGGCTGGTCCATCAGCTCAGTGTTCCCATGCTCACGCAAAACATGGGAAATTTGAAATGACCTGGAAAAATCATGGAAATTAATGCCACTTTTAAAAGTGATTGAAATTATGAAGTTTTCTAGTTGTGCTCAGCACTGTAATATTTAATCTGCTAATTATAGTGCAATCTATTGTTCATGTTATTTTCTGTGTTATTTTAGTATTATTTATATACTAGTATTTATAAATATTTTAAATTAGCTTTTATTTTCCATTTTCATTATTTTAATTAAAATGTTATTTGTTTTCAGGGTTTTTAATATTTCTATTTGTTTTTTTTTAATATATATATATATTTAACAAGCATTTATTTGAATTAATTTTCAGTTCGAGTTTATCTAATATTTGTATTTTATTTTATTTCAGCTTTAAGGATTTTTAACAGTTTTAGTTAACAATAGCAACTTTTTTTCCATAAGGTGAAAGCATTTATTTAGTTAGGCTATTAAGTTCCAAAAAGGAGAAAAAAATCAGTATGTGAGCTTTTGTGATTTGCATACATGTATATTCAAACATGGTAAACATGCCAAGTAGAGACGTAGATTAGTTCTTTCATGCCTCAGTCTGAAACCAATCACAACATGCACAGTTTAAATTTGTAGAATTTATATTATATGACTTACACAAAGCTTTTGCAGCTCACATGCTTTCAGTTTTTGAACATTATGCTAAACCTCTTTTGTGTTCCACTGAAAAAAGAAAGTCATGCAGGTTTAGGACGACATGAGGGTGAGTAACTGATATTTGGGTGTATTATATCAGAGTGATCCAAATCCACCAAGTTTGGAAGTTTCCCAAAGCAACATAGTTTGTATGGATGTAGTTTGTGTATTTTTGCGACTTTGGAGCCCCTGCAGTGTCGTAATTACAGTGTACAGCTGCACACGTGCATTTGTTGCTGTCGTAAAGCAATCGGCAGAATTGACTCGATCGCCAAACTTACAAACTCCCAGAACAGACGCTTATAATATAATAACACTACCTCCAGTGGAAAAAGTGCATCTCCTGTTGTCTCTCACATCCAAATCCAGCCAAAAAAGTTGGGACACTGTACAAATTGTGAATAAAAACAGAATGAAATGTGGAAGTTTCAAATTTCAATATTTTATTCAGAATACAACATAGATGACTGAGAAAATGTATAATTTTAAGGGAAAAATAAGTTGATTTTAAATTTCATGGCATCAACACATCTCAAAAAAGTTGGGACAAGGCCATGTTTAGCACTGTGTGGCATCCCCTCTTCTTTTTATAACAGTCTGCAAACGTCTGGGGACTGAGGAGACAAGTTGCTCAAGTTTAGGAATAGGAATGTTGTCCCATTCTTGTCTAATACAGGCTTCTAGTTGCTCAACTGTCTTAGGTCTTCTTTGTCGCATCTTCCTCTTTATGATGCACCAAATGTTTTCTATGGGTGAAAGATATGGACTGCAGGCTGGCCATTTCAGTACCCGGATCCTTCTACGCAGCCATGATGTTGTAATTGATGCAGTATGTGGTCTGGCATTGTCATGTTGGAAAATGCAAGGTCTTCCCTGAAAGAGACGACGTCTGGATGGGAGCATATGTTGTTCTAGAACTTGGATATACCTTTCAGCATTGATGGTGCCTTTCCAAATGTGTAAGCTGCCCATGCCACACGCACTCATGCAACCCCATACCATCAGAGATGCAGGCTTCTGAACTGAGCACTGATAACAACTTGGGTTGTCCTTGTCCTCTTTAGTCCGGATGACATGGCGTCCCAGTTTTCCAAAAAGAACTTCAAATTTTGATTCGTCTGACCACAGAACAGTTTTCCACTTTGCCACAGTCCATTTTAAATGAGCCTTGGCCCAGAGAAAACGCCTGCGCTTCTGGATCATGTTTAGATATGGCTTCTTTTTTGACCTATAGAGTTTTAGCCGGCAACGGCGAATGGCACGGTGGATTGTGTTCACCGACAATGTTTTCTGGAAGTATTCCTGAGCCCATGTTGTGATTTCCATTACAGTAGCATTCCTGTATGTGATGCAGTGCCGTCTAAGGGCCCGAAGATCACGGGCATCCAGTATGGTTTTCCGGCCTTGACCCTTACGCACAGAGATTGTTCCAGATTCTCTGAATCTTTGGATGATATTATGCACTGTAGATGATGATAACTTCAAACTCTTTGCAATTTTTCTCTGAGAAACTCCTTTCTGATATTGCTCCACTATTTTTCGCCGCAGCATTGGGGGAATTGGTGATCCTCTGCCCATCTTGACTTCTGAGAGACACTGCCACTCTGAGAGGCTCTTTTTATACCCAATCATGCTGCCAATTGA